TTGCTGCACAGGAGGGCTTTGGGCTTTGACTTGGGCTCTTCAGACAGCCTGAAGAAGGCGTGGTACTCCACGCACGTCTTCCAGAAAGCCTTGCAGGTGTCCCGGCTCGCCATGGTGAACTCCAGTGTGTCCTTGCACAGCGCCTATGCAGCCGGAGACAAGCAAACTGGTGTCAGCAGCACAGAGCCGTTCACCCTCCTGACCCCCCAAAGGATCCACTGGGCTGCTGACAGCTCGAGGCAGTGCCGTCACCCCACTGGGGACACGGGGGGTGGTACATGCTGTGCTCAGGGCTGGGGGGGTGGGGAGGAGAATCACCCGTGAGCAGCAGAAATGGATTTTTTTCAAAATCGGGCACTTTGCGTGGCTGCTCCTCAGTCCACAGCTGCCTGCAGTGCAGTACTTACAGAGACATTGGCATGGAGCTTGATGAGAAAATGCTTCCTCTTGAAACTCAGTTTGCGAATTTTGGACCAGTTGAACGTGTTGATCTTTGTATTGCCCTGCAAGGACAGACACAGCAGTTGCAGCAGGGTGGGGAAAATGAGTACTGCAAAAATATGATGGGCCAGACCTGAGCTTGCAGGACACTACATGAGACCCCAACACGGCTCTCACTGCTGCTGAGGGCTGGGGAAGGGGCACCAGCATTTGGTGGTTGACCATCAGTTGGTCCCAAAAGTAGGAATTGAGGTTCAGGGCTTAACTCTGCCTGCTGAAGCTATTTGTAAAACTCCAGGATCCCAAGACAAACATCACAGAGGTCAAGGCAAGGAGTCTCATCTGTCCCAGCTCAAACATCACACGAGTTAATGCAGAATCAGCCCCCCAAAAGAAATAGGACCCTCCTCTCCTTTGCTGGGGAGCACAGCAGAGCTTAGTTCACTCCCATGTCTTCAGACCCAGCTGAGGCAGGCTGCAAGCATACCTTACCCCTCATTATCATTACACATCAATTTAAGCACAGCCACACCAGACTGGTGTCACAGCAGCACCGGGTAAAATTGTGTTACTCCATGCTGTGGCTCTGAGACCCTCTCAGCTCTCTGGGAGAGCTCAGATTTTAATGGGCACACAGACGCTCTAATCACGCGTGAGGGGTGTTTATGGCTCTGAATAACCGGGTCTGGCAGTGCTAATTATGAGCAACAGACCCACAGTTAGGATTTTTTTTTTTTTTTTTTTTATACTCTGGCGAGATGTTCCCAGGTTGAAATTAGCCAGTGTGGGAGGCAAGCGCTGCTTCACACTGGCTGCAAGGAAGCCTGTATTTATTCTGCAGCTACGCTGTGATTACAGTGTTATGTAATTGCGCAGACGTGAGGTGGCTATTTTTGCTGGAAGATTACACGGTGAACACGTGTGACGCAGCCGTGTAACCTGTGGTGCTTACACGGCCGCGCTCACCGTGACAAGGGCCAACAGAGCCGGGGCGGGCTGGCGGCACGCAGCCAGCGCTGATGGAGGTGGTGGGGCTGAGCCCCGCAGCAATGCCCCAGAGCATCACCTCTGTGCCTGAGGTCCGCCGGGGTGTGCTGCCTCTTGTAGGATTTGGGAGGGTTTGGAGCACATGAGGCGGAGAAGGGTTCCCCCCAGACCGAGGCGATGTCCTCACGGAAAGGTCCCCCTGTCTGGGTGCTGGCAGCCCGCCCCGAGCCCCGGGCTCACCCGCAGAGCCCCGGGCTCACCCGCAGGACCAGCACCCCCATGTGCGTCACGGCCAGGTTGATCTGTGTCCCCTCGCCGTCGCTGGCGGGGTGCGGGCGAATCCCGTACATCTCCAGCTTCCTGGCCACGTCCAGCAGCTGAACATCTGACTCTGCCGGTGTCTTTCCGCTGGAGACACAAACACATCAGGGAATGACAAGAGTAAGAAAGCAGCTGAAATGGGCTGAAAAAATGCTATTTTGGATGTACCCATGCTGGCGTCGCACCCACCCCGCTGCTGGCTCTGCCTGCTAATGGGAATGGTCCCGTCCACAGGCTCCCGTTGGGCGGTTTCGGTGGGCAGCCGTGGCGCAGCGCAGCCCTTACCTGTGTCTCCGGTGGTAGTGCATAATCTTGTTGTCCAGGTACTCCTGGTTGGGCAGGTACCTATGGGTCGCCAGGTGCTGCTGGTCCGTCTCCTCATGGAAGTCGCCCAGCTCGGCTGTGGGGACACAGGGGGAGCAGGGTTAGGCTGTGAGGGGTCACTGTAAGGGGAAGCCCTGGCTACACAGCCAAAGCCCTGCTGAGCACCCCATCCCCGGGGAAGGGACCCCGTCCCTGCGGGCACTCGCCGGCCCTTACACTGCAGCAGGTGGGAGACGAGCAGCGCGGCACTCTTGTCGCTGCAGGGCAGCTGCCCCAGTGCCAGGTCCTTCTTGATCTGGAGGGTGAAGAGGTACCTGTGGAGGGGGACAGGAGCATGCCCTGGGGGGAATGGGCTCTGCTGCAGGGGGCCTGTGCCTCTCCCTGCACTCACCCATGTTTCAACCCAAGGGATGCAGGTCCACAGGGTCATGGGAGGAGTGCATGGCCCCCACAGAAGGCTGCAGCTGAGCACCACCATGACCAGTATGGTCCTGCCATTGAAATGCCCATTAGTAAGTTTCAGAGTTAACATTCCTTCATGCTTTGGAGGGTATTTGCATCTCTCAGGGCTAATGTTCTGCAGAAGCACTGTCTTAGTTTTATTCTTAGTTCCTGTTCACAACGTTTTCTCTAAAATGTAAGAGCTAACAATGTCATTTTTTAAAATAAAATTAAAGTTCTTCTTTCAGAACACAGCTTGAGGCAGGAACTAGACTGAGCAAAGTCAGACTTGGTGTCCAACTGCTAAATCGTTCGGCTGTAAATAAATTGCCACCTCTTAAAGGTGGCTGATCCCTCAAGTTGATTTGGTTTAAAAACAGAGGATCAAGAAAAGACACTCAGTTTTTGTTTTGTGAAACACAGAGCTCTTCCAATACTTAGGATAACCACAGCTCACAGACAGGTTCAGCTAGATGAAGATAAGGAATTAAACACATGCTTCACAATTGCAAAAATACAGGACTATGCGGTAAGAAAGTAATAGAACAAGGACTGTACCTGGTCAGCTCTTCTCTCAGATGGCCGGGGTCCACTGGGAAAAATTTCACCATAAATTTGAAAAGAACCTCCTTAGGATCTTAAAACACAACATCTTCATAAGTTTTCTTTTACATGTCTATTGAGAACATTTACAACTCTCTTCACACATGCTGTCTCCTTACAGAGTGAACTAGTCTGGACCCTTACAAATCAGGGCAGGAAGCCCTGAACGCCAGGGACTGCAGCCTGCTCACAGAAACCAGCCTGCCCAGACCCCCAGCGTTACCAACAGAGGCAAACAGGGAGCTGGACACCTAAATACTACTAAAGAGAAAATGCCCCAGCAATTCTTTAAATTGCAAAGACCCTTGCTAAGAGGGGGGTTTCCGTGGAGTGGTGCCAGGGGTGCTTGTCTGGAACGTGGCCAGAGCCCTGGTGTAATTGCTGTTGGGGGGGCTGTACATTAAACAGCTCTCCGAGCACTTGGGATGCAACAGCTCCCAGGAGGCTGTTTGGGCAAAGCTTTTTCATGGGATGAGTGAGAGCAAGCAGCCAAACCCAATGCAAAGAGCATGGAGGAAGGGAGGCAATTTTGTAGGCACCACCTGTCCCAGGACACCATGGGATAGCTCAGGGGCTCCTGGAGGGACAGGCCAGAAACGACATGTAAGAAGGAATTGGTGCCTGAAATAATCCTGCTTCTGGTGCACCCAGAAAGGGGAGGCTCCTTATCAGGCTTTCCCCTTACAGGGAAACTCATGCAACCACTGTACTGCAGCCTCCCCATGGCAAGCACTGGAGTCTTGGCTTCATGCTGTTTACCACCTCCTAATCACCATGCATTTGGGAAAAATACCATTTGGTTCATTGCAGAGGTGGAAACAGGCATAGGCTGAACAGGGCACTGTGTTAACATTGGTCATGGCCACAGCAGGAGATGCTGAGCCTGAATTCAGGTCAGTCTCCTCAGCATCTTCATGCAGCAGCACGGAGGGGCTGGGGGCTGGAGAGGGGGCACAGAGCACGACTAACCTCGCTTCACGCCGGGCTCACACCGCACAGGCCTCCGGGCTGCCGAGAGCTGCCAAGGGGACAGGAGGGTGTGCAGGGAGCAATGCTGCTGCTCTGCCAGCGCAGCCATGTGCACACACACACACACAGCCGACCCTGCCCCGCCGCCAGGCTGGCAGGTCATTAACAGCTCAAGCCTAAAATGGTGCAGATGCCGGATTGCCAAGGCAGCGGTATTTCTACAGGATTTTATATGGACTGTGGTGTCTTTGCAAACAATCCTGCCCAGCCTCACGCTGTAAAATGAGCTCAGGTAAACGCTGGAAATCAGAGCGCCCATCCCCAAGCAATAACACTACACAAATGTCCCTGTGCTAGTCTGTCACTAGCAGTGATTTAGATGAATTTTAGTCTTGAAATACTTACTTTTGACTTGCTTTGTTATGGGTTTTAGTGGTTCCAACCAGACCTGAAATAAGGCAATGAAGAGCATTGAATGAATAAACAGCACAAGAGACAGGTGGCACAAAAGCAGCAGCAGCATGCCAGAATGCAACACAGAAAGGCTGGCCAGCTGGGCTGCTGCGGCAAGCCGTCCCGCTGGCAGCCCCCCCGGGTGGGTACGGACAAACCCCACGGGCCGTGGCTATCACGGGGGCTTTGCCAACCAGCTTGTGTCTCCCTTTTAACTCCCTTTTCAAGGGGTTTTTTAGCATCATGGCAAACCTTTCAATTGAAATTTTCCACCTGGTGTTTCGGGGAGGTGCTGGCCAGCCCCCGGCCCCGCGGGTGGTTGCTGTGAGGATGCAGCAGCGCGGTGCAGCACCGCGGCCCCGCACCGTGGCCCACACTCACATGGTTCCCAGCCTGGCTGCAGAACTCCAGCCCGAAGTACTCCTTCTCCGCAAGGTTGAGGTGGCTGCAGGTGAGGTTGAAGAGCCCTTTTCCGCAGGACTTTTGCTAGCAAAGAAACACACCATGGAAGCAGCGTGTGAGGCAATGCTGACAGCAGCAGTGATGGGATTGCGGTGAGATGAAGTTTCAGCTCCCTGCCTTCACTCCCAGAGGAGCTGCGGGATTTTCCTGATTCCTGATTTCCAAAAGCTTACTCAATAAATGCTGCTGGTTTCAGCATGCAAGACAGGACGACTGCACACTGCATGCCCTTTACCTCTGCTCTAGGAAAGCAGATTCCTCCTCATCACTTCTCTCCTTTATTAAGGAGCATAAACTCACCTTTTGCAACCGTCGCTGTCCGGGCAAAGCAGTGACCGATCCCCAGGATGAGCGTTTGCCTGACCCAGGGACGGCTGTGGCAAACGTGCTTGATTAAGAGCAAACGGGAGCCCACCTCAAACCTGTGCAGCGAGCCCGGGAGCTGGGGACGAGCTCCTATTATGGCTAATGGTAATTAGCAGCAACAGGACCCTGCGGAGAACCTGCGCCTTGGGCCCTGGGTCGTCTGTGCACTTTAGCAATATTAATGAAGTGGCACTACATGCTGATAACTACACCAAGCTGTAGTTATTCCCAGTAAACAGAAACACTTGGTGGGTGTTTTGCTTGACTTGTTGCCGTGCTGTGTGACATGGCTGGGGAGCAACCTGCGAGGCCCCTGACTTTGGAAAATGCTCCAGAAATGACCCTGGCAGTGACCCACCCCAGCAAAAAGCCTGCTACTCCTTTATCAGCTCATGAAAAGCAGACCAAAAATGAGCATGGGTTAGTGCAAAAGCAAGCTGGAGCAGAGAGGTCGGGTTAGACAGCTGCTAAATTATGGCATTTTGGGTGATGGAGGTGGAGGCAGGCTGCAGCTTCCCATGCCAGAGGCTGCTCCCGCCAGGGACGGGAGGGACCCCGGCTGCTGGTGGTGATGCACACTAATAACCACCTTTCACGGCTTCTCCTGGGATGAAATTGCCAGCTCTGTGCTGAAAGGCTGCTGAAAAGTGGTAGTGTAATAACAGCATTTGCTCTGCAGCACTTCCAGTTCTCCTCAAAATTACTACATCACAAGGGTAATTAAAACAATTACAAATGTTGATTTCCAAGCTAGAATTTTCTAGCATGAAAGGCCTTGGCCTTTGTCAGGAAGCCAGGAAAGACAGGTTATTACCCACCACATGTCTGCTGGGAGCGACCCGCTCCCCTCCGAGCCCAGCGCTGCCCCAGGCAGTGGAGACGAGCGGCTCCATCCTCAGGAGAACCTGCTCGCCAGGGAGACAAAGCCCTGTGATGCAGGGGATGGTTTAAAAGCAGAGGCTTTCCTCTCGCAGAGTGGTGCCTGCAGGGGCCCCATCCTGGGTCTGTGGGGTCCCGAGGCCCCGGCCCACGCTGCTGCGGGCACTGGGGTGCAGCTGTGCTCGGGACGGCATCAGGCAAGAGCAGCGGGGCTGTGCCGGAGGAGCGCGGTGCAAGGCAAGGGCATGATGTGTGGGGCTGGGCACCCTACATCCGACCCTATGTGCCTTTAGTGACATTGCAGGGCCAGGGTAGCACCCACGGGCAGAAACCCCTGTGGTGAGGGTGGTGGAAAGGAGAGGCTGCGCTCGCCCCTCCTCTCCTCGCTGGAAGCAGCGGGGACTGTAGGCACGGTAAGCAAGCGGCACATCCAGAGGCAGACAGAAGTGTGTTTGATGCATGGGGACACGCACACCTGTCCCTGAAGGATGCCCTGGCAGCACTTGTGTTCCAATGGCAACGCCACGTTTCTGTCGTGTTCCCCAGAGCACAGGCTGCTGCACCCAGCTCTGAGGTTTAGGGGGGAGCAACAGCCCGTGAGATTTGGTGTGAGCTTTCCCCACCACCTCAGGGATGTCCCCCAGCCAGTGTCTTCTGCATGGCTGCAGCTGGCATGCACCAAAAGCCACCAGACCTGACGTTACCTGTGCCCTCGCTGGACCAGCTCTCACGCAGCAGCTCAGCACACCTCCTCTCAACGAATTCCCACCTTTGCTCATCGTAATGGACACAAGACCAAGAGACACTTTGTCCTTCACTCAGCCTCAGCAATTGGTTCTTCCAGGCTTGTTTGCTTTGCCTTTTCTTTCTTTTTTTCTTGCTGCTGAATCTTGCCCTGTAGCAAATTCCACTAGCAGAGACGCCAGGCTTTGTCTGCCCAGGCTGCAAAGTGGTTCGCCTTTCTGTGCTGCCCAGCGCTGCCTTGTTTAGACCCTTTCTAAAGAGAAGAGGAGTGGCTGTAACGGGGAGAGCACATGCCGGGTCCCAGCTCTAGGTATCCAGGGCGGGAGGAAGAAGAGAGGCACCTTTGCAATATCTCAGTGCAAGAGACCCATCAAAGGCTGACGGGTGACTGTCCCTGCACCCAGGCACGGCCAGCAGTGTCCCATGGACCCCATCAGCACCATGGCTCAGCCCAGGGGTG